AGGGGATAAAAGACACAGATACTCCTGTCTATATCTGTAACTCTATCTATATCAACATCTATATCCATAGCTCTCTTTCTACATCTACACCTACACCTACATCTACATCTGCATCTGCATCTGCATCTGCGTCTACATCTATATCTATATCTACACATGCCTACATCCATATCTATACCCTCTAATGTCAGTTGAAGCATCAATGCCCCAGGAAGTATAATGAGTAATAACTTTTCAATTTCTTGAACACCCACCATGTGTTGATACTGTTAGACATTCTAGTGTCTGTTTTCTCGTGTTAGTATTCTATCCAAGGCCGATCCTGTTGTCGCCCCTGCCTACAGGAGAGAAAGCAGAGGCACAGAGAGTTTCAAGGCCACCCGGTGGTAAATGGTAGAGCTATTATTTGAATTCAAACAGTCTGATCCTAGAGCTCATGGGTTTCTCTTTACCCCAGGTCCTTTCCATGAGATTTCTGCCGCCTGTGACAATGGGTGTAGGGAAGAGGGGTGGGTGGGGGAGAGAGTTTGTGGTTTTCTGCTCCTGGGTTCTGCTTCCTGCATACGCACAGAATGCTGTGTGTGTGTGTGTGTGTGTGTGTGTGTGGGTGTAAGGGAGTGCACGCACACACACACACATACACACACACACACGATATTTTTGAAAAAGCTTTTATTTTTGTTCTCTTCAAATCCTCTTCATGAAATGCATATGAACAGATGTTTAGCTCTCTCTGTCTCTCAGACACCCTCCCTTCTTTCTACTTCTCTAAACTTACTACAAGCAAGCTCCTCTCTTGGTGAAGTAAGTAGAATTTTGTTCATTATTAACATGGCATCCCTCCCCCATGATGGGAGATAAAAGACACAAGAAAAAAGGGGATAAAAGACACAGATACTCCTGTCTATATCTGTAACTCTATCTATATCAACATCTATATCCATAGCTCTCTTTCTACATCTACACCTACACCTACATCTACATCTGCATCTGCATCTGCGTCTACATCTATATCTATATCTACACATGCCTATATCCATATCTATACCCTCTAATGTCAGTTGAAGCATCAATGCCCCAGGAAGTATAATGAGTAATAACTTTTCAATTTCTTGAACACCCACCATGTGTTGATACTGTTAGACATTCTAGTGTCTGTTTTCTCGTGTTAGTATTCTATCCAAGGCCGATCCTGTTGTCGCCCCTGCCTACAGGAGAGAAAGCAGAGGCACAGAGAGTTTCAAGGCCACCCGGTGGTAAATGGTAGAGCTATTATTTGAATTCAAACAGTCTGATCCTAGAGCTCATGGGTTTCTCTTTACCCCAGGTCCTTTCCATGAGATTTCTGCCGCCTGTGACAATGGGTGTAGGGAAGAGGGGTGGGTGGGGGAGAGAGTTTGTGGTTTTCTGCTCCTGGGTTCTTCTGCTTCCTGCATGTGCACAGAATGCTCTGTGTGTGTGTGTGTGTGTGTGTGTGTGTGTGTGTTTTACCATCTAGTTGAGAAACTCCTTTTCTGACATAAGTTCCACAGACTTGCCCACTTAAAACAGGCTTTAGAGTTTCAGAGAGGAGTCTGACTGGGCAGTTCACACATATGATACACATATTTATTGGATGCTGACTATGCACCAGGAGCCATTATAGGAACTTGGGGTGCAGTGGTGTATGGAAAAGCTAAGGTAGCTGTCCTCATGCACCTTATATCCCAGTGGAGAAATGACAGTAAATAAATAAGTAAATAATACAGAATATTAGAAAGTGATAAGTGTTAGGGTGAAAAAGTTCTGCTGAACAGGAGAATTGGGGGATCTGTATGGTGGGATGTGTTTTAACCAGTGTAGTCTGGGTGGGCATCACTGAGAAGGGAAATTCTAAGCCAAGATTAACAGAAGGTTGGGAGTGAGCCATGCTGTTATCGGGGGAAGAGCCTCCTGTCAGGGAACAGCATGGGCAAAGGCCCCGAGAGTAGAGCCCTCCTGCTGTGTTCAGGTACTTAAGTTTTTGCTCAGAGTGAAAAGGTTGTCACTGCCAAGTTTTGAAGAAAGAAGTGACATAACCTGACATAAGTTTTAAGGGATCATAACATTTTGTTGAGTTTAGAATATAACTGCACACAGAGAAAAGCAAAGCAACAGAGCACTCATGCAAACCAGAAGAAGTGACTTGTACCAGGACCATAGCCAGCGGAGACAGGGGAAAGCTGTAGACAGTGGTGCATGCTGAAGGGGAGCACGGAAGCTCTGGTGCCTAGGACGGGGGCGGGAGAGAAAGACTCCAGTTGTTTGGGACCTGAGCATTGAGGAATGACGGTGCCTCGGGTGAGGTACAGAGAGCTGCGGGGAACTCAGGAGTCCAGTTTAGACATGTTAGCTGTGACATGTTCGTTTCCATCCAAAGAAAGATGTGAGTGGAGAGTTGGACACACGAGTCCAGAGTTCAGGGGAAAGGCCATGGTCACAGATGCAAAAATGAGAATTACGGATGCGCAGATGGCAGAGTTGCTGCCATTCCCTGCTCCTCTCCACGCTGATCCCTCTTTTCTCTTCCCTCCTTTAGTCCCTCCCCTTCTCCCTCCAAGATTCATTCCTATTTTTCCCATTTTTGTCTCAGCTGCTCAGTTTCCTCATCCCCAGTCTTCTCCTCCAGATTTAAAACCCCAAACCTTTGATGTTCTTGGTACCAGAGGACCTGCCCTGTGACAGCAGGTGGCCTCCTTAGAGGCATGTGTGGTTGCAGATAGGGTAAGTGGGTGGGTTTCACCAGCTCGCACTCTGCAAAGGTGACCCACAGAATTTCTCCCTGAGGAGAAGCTAAGAAATCAAAAAGAATGCTGGACTTTTTTGTGGTGCCACAGCTGCCTCCTCCTCTGAGTGACACTGTTTTATCTTTGTAGCCTGTGCTTTGGGTGTCATATCCAAGAAATCATTGCCACACACAAAGTCACGAAGAGTTTCATCTATGCTGGGGTCTTTTCCTAAGAATTTTATAGTCTTAGTTCTTATATTTAGTTACTAGAGGCCCAGCGTGGGATTGAAATCGCACGAGGAGGTGCCCCGCCTCCCGCTGTGTGAGGAGGCACCCTGTGGGCCACCGCAGGAGTCAGGCTGGACCTGCGCCGCAGGTGGCTGGGACCCACGCCTGACTTCCGCCCCAGGCCCCCGCTGGCCCCTCTGCCTGTGTCCACTCCAGGGCTG